GAGATTCATCCTAGTTAGCTGCAGTTCACATCCCTCGGTAAGATAGCTTCTCAGGTTTGTCTGCTAGCTGTGTGTTAGTTACTAAGTTAATTCCAGTAACTAGGTTTGCTCCATGTAAAGCTACCTTTAGTATTTTCTGTGGTTTATGTTAAATGTTTAAAGGGAAACATTTTGATGCTTAAAGTGTTCATTTCATAGTAATATTCCCCATGTTACTAAAGGAGTTAGTGTGCAGTTTTTAATGACTTACTTCTCATGTTGCCAGATAATTGAGTGATTGGCACTTAGTCAGTGTTTAACCTGATATTGTCATGATCTGGTATGATGTTGTACAGCATAAAGGAAACATAAGATGAAATATAAGGAAAGCAGAACAGAGACTATAAGCCTGTTTGGAAATGCAGGTCAGGTCTTTTGTGTGAGTGAGAAGATCCAGTGAACAGATCCCAGTAGATGGCGAGCCACCCAGCTGGATTACCAGGAACCCGGATCTACATTGCCACTGAAACCGCTGGATGACTCTGCCTTGTGGTAGGATCGTGCCAGTCACTCTGACTGGTCCCAGCTAGATCGAACACACAAACCCTTAAAGAGTGCACTCTGAGTTCTCAGACTCTATCAGATCAAACCCTCACCTGATCTGAACTCAGCACTAAGGACAATTTATTTTATATTTGTGGTTGAACGGGCCCAGTTTTTATTTTCCATATTAATGTGAAAGTAATGTAAGTTAAACTGCTTTGCTATTCATAAGCTTCACTAAAAGCTTCACTAAATTCACTTGTGTTGTGTTTATGGTTATTACACTTGAAACTCAAAGTTCCTCCCAAACTTAGAGTAAGGTGTACTTACCCAGTAGTGGGTTACAAGTGCTTGATGATTAACTGTGGATTTGTCTCTACAAGTAAATCCCTTCATATTACACACAGTCATTTAATCCATTAAAAGTACTGATCAGTGCCATTTTAAAGGAGTTTTTCTATTTTCTGTCACTTCTGAAAAAATCAGAATGTTTGAAATCTTGTCTTTTTAGTGTACTTTGTAAATAATTTATTTATTAATTTATTTTTACATTGTTGTAGTTAAGCTTTGAATACCACCAGTATTGCAGTGCGTGGGTTTTTTGTTACACGACTGCCTAACATCAAGGTCACATGTCCATCAAAAAAGACAGAGAAACATACATCCATGCGCATTAACTCACAGCCATGCCGATCAACACACACGCAAACAGAGAACACACTCAAAGTCCCTTGAGACACGAGGTGTCGTCAGAACTGGGCCTGAGTCCCAAACCGCAGGGAGTCCTTCCAACAGCTTGGCTTATAGATGAAGGTCTCTGTGAGGAGACACATACGGAAATGCACACACTCACGCTCACGCATGAAAACACAGCAGCACACACACAGCCTCCTGCTGCTGCTCCTGGCGAGCTATGAGACGTGGCCTGCTGACTAGAGAATAGCAGAATTGTGTATTTGAGCCATCTGTTGCTGAGACTGATATAGCTATCACACACACACATGCACATACTCACACCACACACAGAAACAAATACTTTACACTACACACATTTTTACCATGCACGTGCAGATAGACACCTAAAAAAGATTATGGTGATACTCAAGACACTTAAAACTATTATATGGATCATTTCCACATTAAAATATCTAAAAATAATGTTAAAGCGTTGTTATATATTTTTGTTAAGTTTTGTACTTGCATTATCCTAAATGTTTAAAGGCAGAGAGATCTGTAATTTTATTCTTCTAACTGCATTTCCTTGCTTGCCTCTAGTTGCTAACTCCCTGGTAAACACAGGATATGTTGAATAAGCCACAGAGTGAGGAAGATAGATGGAGAATATGACCAAACATAACGTGAATAAAACTTTAATACAGTACCTAGTCTGAGGCACGTCAGATAGATTTTCATCAGCAATGGTAATTGTTTTAAGGTAAGATTTATGAGGATATATTGGAGGAGGCCATATTGAACCACCACTAGGTTCTCCTACACACTTCAAAGCCCGTTCTCATTCCCATGTCGTCAAATACAGACATTTCACAAATAAATCTTTAAATAAAACATGTTTTTAAAAAAGCAATAATAATAATAACAATATTAACATGAACACAATTATTTCAGCTAATATAGTATGAACTATATCATTTGTAAAGCTATATAATACACATGAGGTTTCCCCAACACCGCAAAATATGTAACACAGCAAAATAAGCCAATTTATGCAACAATATGCTTAGTTTGGTGACTACAAGGCCAGCAGTGGGGGTAACCATCTTGGAATAATGCCTGAATGTTCCCAAGTCAAAATAATGGAACGTTCTCATGTCTCATGTTGAATTTTAATTATTAAAAATTTAAGATTGCTATAAATTGTTTCATCTCACTACATTGAAGTGTAAACAGAGTATTATCAGGATTGTCATTTCTTTAAAATTAAAAATCAAGAAATCCAGGAATAGAAAAAGGGATCCAGCCCCAAAGAATGAAAGAGACAGATTATGCATAAATGGAAATTCAAATACTAAGACCTTTCATGACTGTGCCTCCATAAATGTTTTAAAAATGAACTCACACCTGAGAAATAAAATGCCTATTTTCCTATTACTTGCTTTTATGGCCCCAAATAGTGACATCTTAAAAGCACAATTGGGTTTTTTGTTTTCTTTTGTCAAAGAAAATTGCATAAACTGTATATTTGAGAGCACATTTTTTATTGAGATATCTTATCTTCTCAGGCCCAGGTATTGTTCCGTGCTAGACGGTGCATTTATGTTTTTTATTTTTTTCGCCAAAAGGCTAAAATACCATTCAGGAAACGTCTTTATTGCTGAACTTTTGAGTCCAGTCCTCTCACAGTCAAACAATAAAGAGAGTAAACATCAAGAACCAAACAAACCAGCAGAGGAGACTCAAATAAGGTCTGGATCAAAATATATTGACCTGTCTTTCATGCAATTAGGAAAACAGGAATGACAGAGACTGACAGCTCCTGTGAGGGGTTGAGTGTGTGTGTGTGTGTGTGTGTGTGTGTGTGTGTGTGGGGTTGAGTGTGTGTGTGAGGGGTTGAGTGTGTGTGAGGAAGGAGTGGAACTGTAACGCTCACTAAGCTCTAGAAAGTAAAGCTATTTTAACTGTTATGAAGACCAATTAGGGGAATCATTGCCATTATTCTAAGTGCTAAAATAGATTTTTCTACATTTCAGTCTTTGAAGAAATCTTTTAACGTGTTCCATTTTAAAGAACATTATTTTTTGAGAATGTCATGTGGTCTTTAATTGAAAACCTTGTGTGATGTGAATAAAGCTGTCATGGTTATGAACTTCTGTAGTGAAGACACTGGGATGTTACTGTATATGGCGTTAGTGCAGGGGCTATCACTGAGTTCACACCGGGGTGCCGGCCAGAACACCAACTTAAGGCTAATTAATGCTCAGAGGTCCACAATGAAGAAGCAGGTGATGGATAGTGCAGGTGGTTTAATATCCTCTTGCTGGCAATGAGGTCATGTGGTTTTTCTATAGCAAAAGAACAATAACAAATACACAAATGAATAAGAATAAAGCTCTTAATCACTAATAAACATAATAAAGGAGTACTGAAACTACTACATCCCCACAATAACAGTCCTGAAACACTCTTCACCTGCCTTACTAGCATATTAACACACATATAAACAACATCACATGGTAATATTTAAGTAACACTCACTGTAAGCATTACACTAGCGAGTCGGAGCGATAACAATAACGTAACACGTGACGTGACGTACACTCGATCAGAGGCAGGTGAGCTAAATGCTACAACTAGCTCAAACAGTGACCACATGGCAAGTGTGACAGCTACACATCAGAACAACAGAAATAAACTATAGCTGCAGCAACGTAAACACAGTACATCAACAATATAATACTTTCCATCCACGCACAGACCACTTGCCATGGCGTTAATTGTTAATTGAACCGTGAATCCCTCACTGCCGTCTCACCGGAGCACACACCTCTCTGACCAAGTACCGTCAGTTACGCTATATAACCAGCAGGGGGGCGCTCTTATATGAGCTGACCAACCCTACATCTATGAAATCACACACTAAACATAATATGTCCCAACTTTGGGGCCTTTTCTACAACTTCATCGTATCTGTAAAATATAACAGGGTAGAGAAGCTTGTAGGTTGACGGTCCGTGTATCTTTTGGTCATTGGATTTTCCTTTCAGTAACGGGTATTAAAAAACAGAAAACGAGTGGTTATTTGATTTTCGTTTTAAAATGCAAAAATTGAAATTGAAATACAAGGCGTTTTTCTTTTTCATCGTCAAAAAGGGATGAGCGAAATTTCAAAAATGATTTGATTTTCATTTTCTATTTCATATAACAAAAAATAAAATCACTAGAAAACAGAAACAGAAAAAAGGCCTGTTTTTTCATATTCTGAGACCGGATGTTGTCATTAACAGGACGGTGCTGTGTAGAAGAAACAGTAGGCCAGTAGACTGCGGTCAATCCAGCCGTGAGTCCGATCTCCGTGGTCAAATCAGCCGCACTTAAATTTAGAGTGTACAAGTATTCTCAGCATTATGGTAAATGCGGAGAAACAGCGTATTTACTTCCGGTTTTCAAAATAAAGGTATTTAGAGCCGTAAGCTATAATTAAAATATGTTACATTAAAGTGTTATGCCCCTGATGAATAAAAAACACTTTATATCAAGTATCTTTACTGCACCAGTGTGGAGAAATGCCAAAATAAAAGCCTCATATTTATGCCTCCAGAGATTGCATATTTGACCATATTTGAGGTACTGTACAAACATATTGCTCAGTGTTTCCTGGCTACTGATTGTATATTTGACTTTTACACATATGAGACTACAAACATACTTAATATCAAGCATTTTTACTGTACCAATTTGGAGAAATTCAACAATAAAAGTCCATATTTGTACCTAGTTTTTTTATTGTTGTTGTTTTCCAGGTCTTTCTCAAGTCTATCGGATGACAGCGAGGAGGCCCGAGCCAGGTACCTCTACAGGCAGTGGGTGGGACTCGGTTTGACGGATGTCCGTCTTTCCAATCACACCGTTCTGCTTAGCCTGCCCGGTTCCACACCCAACACCATCACTGACAGGTCTAGTCACCAGTGTTTCCTACCAAACGGCATCCCCTGCGACCAGCGTGGACCCAGTGACCTCCCGAAACAGCGCTTCTCCTACGCAGCCTACTCCACTGTTGGAAGTCTGCAGGTACTGTTCCATCACCCTGTATTGACATTTCCTAAACCAAAGGTTGCTTCACCCTCCTGGCTGCTGCACTCTCCTCCTGCTCCTCCTCCCCCTCATCACCTTCATATTGTCAGATTGTCCAAGTCCCCGGCCCCCGGCAGCTGAAGGGTCATCATTAAAGGTCATAGCCAGAGGTTGTAGCTTTAAATGTTATAGCTTCGCCAACCACAGTTCAGGTTATAAAAGCATCTCTGTGCTATTATTTTCAGCAGGTCAGGCAAGGATAAAGATGATATTTATAAATGTATTTGCAGGTAGAATGTCGAACTGATTTGGCATAAAGGAAAGAATCCTTAAAAGTCCTTTTTGTGTGCAACTTGTTTATAAAACCATTTCAAAACCAATTATCTTAGGGGCTAAAAAGCTGCAATTTCAAGGCTTAATTGATTTGCAATTTAAGGCATCATCTAAAGCAGAATGCGAACTCAAATACTGTATAAGCTCATTCATACTTTCAGAAATTAAATCTGCTGCAAACCTGAATGTATCCCTGAATGTCTTTCTCATAGGTTTCACCTTGTTGAAATCATCACTTCGGCATAGTTGAAACATGTATAATATAATTTCCATATAAACTTTCAAAATGACTTCTCTAAAGCTGGGACACCACTGACCATAGACATGTATACATACTGGCCTTTAAACAAAAGCAGGGAGCTGCGGTTTTTCGAGATAAGTAGATTTGTTTTTGTCTCCTGTTACTTAGACTCTTAATAGTTAACAGGTTATATATAGGTTGATTTTTGTGTCAGTAGAAACTGAATTTGAATCATTTAGAACTGAATCTGAATTGCTCAACTTGGATAATGGCATTAAAAAACTGAATTTGAATTGCATAATTTGAATTTGTATTGTTTAACTTGAATAACTGTATTGAAAAACAGCATAATTTGAATTTGAATTTATTAGTTTGAAACTGTTTTCCAATAAATTTAAAACTGAATATAAAAAATTCTGAATTCACTTGCAACTGAAACTGTATTAGAGCCTCACTAAAAATTCAACTTTTTATGTACTTTCACTTTCAGTTCTCTCAATTCAAATTCAGTTCTCTAAATTCAATTTGTGTGTAGGCTTACACGAATTGAATTACTTGCCTTTTGGAAAATAATTAATTGTCATAATATTTATAATAATCATAATTTTTTATACAAATGATAACACTTAGGCGCTCTAAGTGTCATCATGTTTTGCTGTTATTTATGGTCACACCTGTCTGTCATCTCCTCTGCAGGGCAGAGGTCAGGATTCAGCTCCACACACAGCAGACAGACATCAGTGCAGTTAACTTGAGTTGAGATTAGCAGGCGTGCTGTGATTGTAACAACAACTAGGGACAAAACCGGTGTAAACGTGGCTTCTCTACTTTTATAGTTTTTTTCTATATCAACTCGAGTAAACTTCTCTTGGGCTTTTCTGCTCTCCGTGCCACCATAAATGAGACGTTTCCCAGCAACGAGCTTAAGTGGCCAAAGCAGCGTCCATGATGTATTCTGTGTCTATGCCACTGACAACACATGCATACATCACACTAGACAACGTGTCCCGAGGTGAAATCCTGTGACAGCACAAATTCTCATCCTTCCTGTACAAAAACAGAAAACTTTAAAAGCAATCCTTTTAAAAACAGTGTGACTCATGCTACAATTTTTGTAGAAAAGGAAAAGAAATGAACTAAAAAATACCAATACACAGTGATTGAACTAAGTGAGGTCAACTCTGGCTCTGCACTGAAACATAGGGAAGTGAAATATAAATAAATACCCTCTCCCTGACAGCATGCTGCATTATATTGCCATTTGCTTGTTTTCTGACTGAAAAACTGTCTTCTGCTACATGTTCCCCCGATTTCAGATGCAAGAATGAAAAATTATTACAGTGGTTCCCAAACATTTTCTGTTAGGCCCTGCTTATTCACATGCTGATTAGAATTGTCTCAAAGTAGTTTACACCCACGATGAGCTATTTTACTCTCATCCCCCGCTGATAAAATTCATACATTATTTAGGAAACTATAATTTTGAGGGAGAAAGAGCATAGAAGCTGCCTCCAGACTCTCCTCCCCAAATATATACGGTTGTACTGGCTGTGCAAGCGTCTCATTACCACCCATATTTACGATTGTTAGGCGGCGACCTCTAGTGGCCGTAGTAGTTATGACGGTGAGAAAGTCCGCATTGGTGGAGGTTGGGGTGGATCAAACAGGACTTTATATTTTAAAAAAGTAATTGTGACACTCCCCTCCATTAGTTTTTTCCAATTCCTCTACAACCTTGGTTGGAGAGGTCTGGCATGAACTGCTCGCTTCAGGTCCCACAACAGCATTTCAATTGGAATCAGGTCTGAACTTTGACTGGGCCAGTCCAGTTTTGGTTGTTTTTGCTGCAATGTTTTGGATCATTATCATGTTGCATCATCCATTTTCAGCCAAGCTTTAACTTCAAAACTGATGGCTTGAGCTCATTTTCAAGGGTTTTACAATATTCCTTAGAATTACTGATTCTTTGGACTATGTGGAGTTGTCCAGGTCCCGAGGACAAAAAGCAGGCCCAGATCTTAACATTCCCACCACCATGCTTCACTATTGGGAGAAGGTTCTTTTGGTGGTCTGCAGTGTTGACTTTTCACCACACATACTGGTTTTGGTTGTGACTGTTAACTTTTAGACTCATCTGTCCACAGAATGGACTTCCAGAAAGCTTTAGGTTTCTCCAGGTGCAGCTTTATTCTTTTTTTGTGAGCAGAGGCTTGTTCCTACAAACCTTCCATTAAAACCGTGTTTATTGAGTTTTCTTCTTATTGTGGAAGCATGCACACGTGTCCCAGATGCAGCAAAAAATGTTTTTTCTTGTGGATCTTGCAGATATTTTAGAAGGTCGTCCATTTCTAGATGTTCATTTTCAGTGCTTTCAATTGTTAATGATCTGCTTCACAGTGGACTGATGGATCTTGGAGCTTGGATTTGTTTGGGATGAATGTATAGCTTTCCTTAGACACATGTGCTGTTTCTACCCTCTTCCTGAGGTCCTCTGAGATGTATTTTTGTCTTGGCATGATTGACCTGTATGGGTTCAGTGTGGTAAGACTAAACTGACCTGGTTTGGTCTCATTTCAACCAGTGCTTCACTAAAGATCTCTCATTTCAAGGAGATAGAAGTCGGGCAGTAAGACCTTCAGTGAGTTGAAGTACTTCATAAAGGGTTGCCATTTCCAAAAGATTTTCTCAGAGTTACAGTTATCAGTTTATACCAATCTTTTTTCCAGTTTTAGAAAAAAAACCTTGACATCCCGGAGCCACTGAGAGATGGATGGACTAGATTTCCACTAAGTGTCTCATTGGAGATGAATATAATACAGTCCTGAGGGCAATTAAATAAAACACAGGGCTTTCACAGAGGAGACAACTGTTCATGTCCCGTGTAACCGCAAAAGACAACATTAACTTATTTTTACATAACTTATGTAGACAAGTTACGTTTCGTATGAAAGCAAAGTTACTTACTTATTTTAACCAGAAAATTATCTTTTCCAAACTGCGACTGTTTCACAGTGTTAACCACGTTTATTATTGTTACCATGGCAGTGAAGGTTCGGTCATATATTGTATTTTTGGAGTCACTGGAAACTGGCCTATTCTCTCATTTACTTATGAGGATGTGTAAAGGCCACATATTTGATGAGATTACTGTTAACAATGTTATCTAGTAACTTAATGCATCTGGATCTACCTGTCTGATTCATCTCGGCAGGTGACAGTGATTTATTGATCGATCTCACTGAGCATAACAGTAGACGCAATGCAGGTTTTTTTTAAAGGCCTTTTTTTTTGGCCACAATGAGGTGGGAATGTGTGATGAAAAAAGTCACCACACAAGCAGAAAAGAACAGACAGCTCTGCAGGTCTGCATCAAGCATTAAACTTCTTTGATTTTGTACCTGTGGTATTTGGAGCTATTGGAGTCATCTTTTGCTTAAACATTACTGTTGACAGTCCTCTCACACTGTCAATAGGGTGCATTAAAGAGTCCTTTCATAAGGTCAACAAGACCAAAACATTCAACCAAACCAAACCAACCTGCTGTAACTCCAAGCCCCTTTAATTCAGTTTCTAGAATAACATGGAAAATAAATAAAATAAATCAATGTATACAGTTATTTATATACATATATTGACACATATACACCCAGGAAATAATTCTGTAGTGCATCAGCAGATGATATGGTTACATCTTCACAGAAAAAGAATGATGATCTGGCTGGGTGGATCATCTCAAAGTACACTGCTCTTAAATCTGAACTCTACGCTTCCTTTTGTCATGACTGGCTATTTATCTCGTAGGTAATACGTGTTTCAGCAATAAAGCTGAAAACAGATTTAAACAAAAACAGAAGTTTGAAGGAGCTAGGTTTCCGGCCAGTCCAGTAGATTTGAACAACTTTGGCTTAGCCCTTACAAATCAAACTCAATCAGACATCATTCAATGATGTTTTCAGCAATAAAGCTGAAAAAAATATATATTGAAACAAAAATGTTGATGGCAGTGAGTTTTTTTTTTTTTAAATTTTTATCTACAGAGGGAGCGGCTCCTCATCTACGGAGCCCGCCATGTTGAGCTGCTATTTTTCTATAGTAGCCCAGAGCAGACATAGCAACCACTGGCTATAAGCTCAAGTTTTGCAGCCACTGTAGTTTCTCCTGCAGTTCAGTTGGTTGGTATGCAAGCTCACTGCTAGGTGCCACTAAATCCTACACTCTGGTCCATTTAATATCACCTTACTCAGAAAGACCAGACTGGAACAGACTTGGTCCAACTTGATCCTAGTCAGTCTTGATGCCCAAATCAGAACTGTACAACAGTCGTCTGTCAACAAACTTGAAATTATAGTTAGATGTTATTTGTAGTAAACAATAAGCAAAAAAAACTAAACTGTACTTTATAACTTCAAAGATTTAAATGAGT